ACAAGAACAAAGTCTCTCTTTCAAGACATGATTCTCACCCAAATATAAGTGACAAAGAAGAAAAATTATGGAATAAGAGGAGATAGTATTATTAATAACAAAGTGGAAAAATGTTTTGTACTTTAGGGCTTCATCGGACTAAACATGTCATTTTCTTCCAAGAAGTTGTTTGTTAAAAAAAAGAAAAAGAGAGACACTACTGAAAGTTTTTTCCTTAAGAATCTTACAGATAAAGACAATGAAAACAATAATGCTTAGATATCTGTTACTTGTCCATTTGTAGGACATGCACTTTCAAACACATTGTCATACAGAGATGACAACTTAGATGTCTTGATTCTCCTAACACAAAAACATTTACAGACAGAAAGAAATTGCCAACCAAGATATTTAGTGTCAAGTAAGTTTTTAAAACTTAGCTTTATCTGAGATAAATACAAATACCATTTGACATTTCACATTCTTTTTAACAAACATTTTGGTAATGTCAATTTATTTTTACTAAAAGATTACAAAAACAGTAGAAAACTAATTTTTTATGTGTCCTTCATATTTTTATCCTCAAATTCAATCTGTTGGGGGAAATCCAACAGTTTAAAATCACATCTCCAATTGGCTGTTTGCATGTGGGCATGGTGTTTATATATAAAAAGAAATTTTATGTGTCTGCTATTATTTTATATGCAACTAATTGTAGAACATTAACTTTTCTTAAATTGAAATTTCCCTAATCCATCATCATTAAAAACAAAGAAAAGAAAGAAATCACAAGTTTTACCTCGTTTTTGTAAATTTTTAAATTAAATGTCCATTTTTAAATCCTTCAAAATAAATTTCCAATTTCTATTTTAAAGGCTACAAAGCATGATCAAAAGTTTAATTGGCTCACAATTTTATTTATGTATAGGTGTCTGACAAAATATATTCATTCTCTTAAATGTCATTCTGAATCAAATAAATTTGCTACTAGTTTTAGAAAAATGTTGGAATTATATATATAATGTGTGTGTGTGCGCATGTGTGTGTCACTCATTTTCTTTCTTTAATCATGGGAAATACCAGCTTACAGAAAAAGTACTAAGAATTCATTATTTAAACATACACACACATTTCATTCTTTCACTTTTGGATCTGATGAAGCCTTAAATGGCAAAATGCACTATTTGATATATTTCTAAACAAATCTACTTCCATGAATGCATCCAATTGTCAAAAAATTTTAAAAAACTTTGTCAGGATTATATCCTAATTTTAAAACACACACACACACACCTGTGTGTATGAGTGAGAGACAGACAATGTGGAAAAAGTTTACTTGTGACACGTTTCATCCTTCAGGACTTCATTGGATTAAATTTGTTATGTCGGTATGACTACACAAGCACACAAATGAGGGGTGCTGGGGATTTTAGAATTTTTTTTTATCTAGATAAATTCATTTAGAATTTTTTCTTTTTCTTTCCATCACTTTTGTTAGTAGGTATCCCACACTGTGATAATAGAATATCTGCCAAGATATAGTAAAATGTTATAAGAGCCAGGGTGCAGACTTATTGTAGATGACCTTGTGATAAAAATTCTAAAAATTCCCCACCTCTGTTGTGCGCATATGTTGTCCTACCAACATAACAAATTTAGTCCAATGAAGTCCTGAAGGACTAAACGTGTCACAAGTAAACTTTTTTCATTTTGTCATACATTTTCCCCAATATTGTTCTTGATATATAAAAATATATATCATTAGCTTATATATGTGTGTGTGTGTGTGTATTTTCTTGCTAAGAATTTGTTTTACTAGCTTAAACCCGCCCTATCAGGCGGCATTTAAGCTAGCTCCTGCAGAGAGCTCTTAACTGGGCCTTCATCACAATAGGTAAGGAGGAGTAGATGTGATAGGCAATAATAAACTACAAAAGAATTCAAGAGTGATCACTGCATTTAAGTATTACCTTAATATTTAAACTTATCTTTTAAATGTTCAATGATAGTTCTTCTGCCGACACATTAAACTACCTTTAAATAAATTAAAGGTAGTTTAATGTACATAGGTCCTTATTTTCTGTACAAACAATTATTTTTATTTCATGGGTGACTTTTGCTGGATTTCACAATTAATTTTGATTATTCCCAAATTTATTTCCAAGTTATAAAAATTGTTATTGTATGAAAAAAATGTGTTGCAAAAAATCACCTAGAAAAATTGTTGAAAACAATCGCAGTTAGGAAAATTTGGGAATCCAAAGTTTCAGTAATCAGGTCTGGATCTGGTCCAGAATGTTTTTAATTTGCTCACAGAGTTGGCCTGATTCCAAAATGGTATAATATGTTGGGCTATGACCTCTAGGAGTAAAGTTGAGAAAGTGTGACACACTGACATTCGCATTTATTATATAGATAATAGGTGTTATTTATAGGACTAATTCAGTTCTTGGGATTCATTTCAATTTCCTTATTGTATAAATTATATTCATTAGCTGTTTATAATAATAAAAGTAATTAAATAAAAGATTGAACACAGGCAACTGTTACATATTATTGTGTGAGAGAGCAACACACCAACAAAGTGACATTGGTGTACAAATTTACGAAGCCCAATAATACCTATCATGACACCCATTCTAGTAAGGGTATACCAGGCACATGCATCACAGCCAGATGTGTGTGTGTGAAATGGTAAAGAGTTTTGATAAAAGCAGCACATAACCTAGCTGGTGGGTTCCAGTTAGATATATCTTCATGTCAAGTAACAGATTGTCTCCAATTGTGAGCGTTTCTAAGTATCTAGATGACTCCAAAATCACCTTAGCTCCCTCATACTTCAAACTTTAAAAGTAAACCTCACTCAACAACCAGTCATGATGCTATGCCTGCTCCAGAGCAAAGATGCACAATGTGTATCTGTTCTTAGGGATCATGTCCAATTGATTGTGGTCTAGCAAATCTGTGGTACTGAACAGGATATTTACTGTAGCCTTACTCTTAAATGACCAAGACAAAGCATTATTTACAATATTCGGACTATTGTCCTCATCTTTGTTGCCATATTTATGACAATGTTTCAGCCGTTGCATGCTCTGGCCTTTTTCAGGTGGTTGGAATGTCGAACTGGACCTTTTATTTGTCGCGCTGGGGTAGACTGTTCTAGGTCCAAGTGCCATGTCTAATGGATGTCGATTATCTGTTATTTCCTGTTAATTCACCACTTCTCCACTGCCTCAACCAGGTATTGAACTCAGAACTGATAACTCATTATTTACTTTATTTACAGTCCCTCTTGCATATGGCATCTGTATCAGGCATAGATATAAATACCATATAGGAGCTATTAATAAAGAAAGCAAGAGAAGCAATGGTGAAAGGAGTCAAGCTTGACAGCAAGGCTGCTGTATCAGAATAGGGAGCAATAAGAACATTGGGTTTAAAGCTTCAGGTTCTATCTTCAGGATGACAATAGTCTAGAGCAGTGGTTCCCAAACAGAGCAGCATGCCTCATAGGTGAGGCAGAAGAGGATAGCAGGTGAAGCGAATTGATTGAAAGATAATCAGATTTAGAAACAGTTTAAAAAATTTGTATGCCAAAAATAAATATGATTTCAAAATTTAAAATATTATTATGGATTACTTGTAATTGCATGCATGAGTCCCAGTATAAATAGTTATAAATAATTATTGACCGATTTTATCATTGTGACATTTTTGCATTATATCAAGTATTAAGAATATAGTAACTAGGGTCTGCAAATTGGAGGCGAGAGTTATTAATCATAATGTTCTGACTTCTTTAAATATACGGTTATCTCCCTTTAACCTCTATCTCTCTTATTTTTAAATGTACTTTTTATTACATAAAATTTAGTGAGGTGCAAGCAAATTTTAATTCCGAAAATAATGGCCCTGGGAAAAAGGTTTAGGAACCACTAGTTTAGAGGATTAAAGCATTGTAATTGTGAGTTCAAAACTCACTGAAGGCTGCCAGGGTTGGTAGACACCTCAAGAAAGTCAGAGTACAATAGCTTAAATGTTGTGATATTAAAAAACAAAGATGAGGATATTAGTCCAAATTATGTACTCTATAAATCCTTTAAAAACTGGATACTACCTCTGTCCCATATGGAGAGCAGAGTTCCAATTCCCATTGGGTTCATTGTATTCATTTATGTGCAAATACCCTTGGGAAAGGTATAAATTCACATCTTTTTCCACCAGCTATGGGTTAATTAGTAAAACTTGTATCACTAAACTATTATTATCTCAAAAAGAATAAATAACCAACAAAAGATTGATAAGCCATATAAAATGGATCAATCAATCAATCATGTCCTATAATAGTTAATTAAGTGTGTGAAAATATGTACAGAAATATAACAACTATTATTTTTGTAATGTCAATGAATACTCGTTGTCACTTTCATAATGCTCGTTGTAGTAGAGACTCTGTAATTGCAGATACAACTATAGTAATGCTGTTGAATAATACTGGTGTCAGACAACTTCGAATGACACTCACACTAATAGTACTTGCTCGATAATATTCACTCACGAATAGTAACCACCGAATATTGATCAATATAGAGAAATAATATAGTGAATAGTATAGAGAAGAAAATTGCAATCTGTATAGTGATAGAGGATAGTGTAGAAGAGTGATTAATTCGGCACCCTGCTAATTCCCATATATACATTTCCTTTACCATCACATGATCTACTTATTCAAAATGGGATCACCTGTGTTTGCTCTCTGGTGATCTGTGTTCCAACTCCAGTGTTAGCAGCAACACTTTATTCCTATATAACAATTATAGAACAGAAGCAGTAACATAAATAAATCAATAATCATTTTTAGGTTTTGTTTTAATCTGAATTCCAGTTGCCTTTCAGGTGTGATTATTTTTCTTTTTTTTTTTTTTTTTAAAAATTAAGTTTTGCCATTATTTCGTTTTTGATAAAAGTAAAAATTGGTTTGTGTGGTGCCATTTTAATAAACTTATTCATCATTTCAGGATTGTAAACAAAAAAAGTATCTTGCTCCAGGTTCAACAAATGCTGTGATAATGTCTAAGTTCTTTGATAAGGTAAGTTCACTTCATCGCCTACTTACAACATTGAGGACCTGATCATTTGGATATTTAAAAAAAAAAATCTTTTTTGTAGTTATATGTGATAATTGCATTTTTAGTCTATATTGAGCAAACAGATTGTTGTTTTGTTTCTGAAATACATCCATTTTTTTTATTTTTAAAATTTTCACTGAGCACCAAAGTAAAATTTTTTTTTTTTCTTCTCAAGGTATTTTTTAGTATAAAAAGTCTTTTTTCTTCTCAAGGTAATTTTTAGTACAAAAAGTCTATCATCATAAGTCTTTAGTAGGCACAGGAGGAGCCTAAAGATTTATATCAATTAAGATCAAAAGTGTTATATCTACAACTGTCATAATCTCTGGATGTTATATCAAATCAGCTCAATTCAGATTGTTTTTCTACCATAACTTATACTCTGAAAATCTGGACTCATTCAGTTTAATTTACTTTTTGAGCTGCTTTCAGTTAAAATAAGTTAAGCCTCATAACATCATTTTGGATAAAGATTAGATTAAATGCAAGGAATGTTGTGACATCAGAATTCTCCAGAGGAAAACACAAAATATTAGGCTAAATAGTAATTTAAAAATATCAGAACAAAGATAAAAAACATAATTCCCTTGAGCTATGGATCCTTATGGATGAGGGTATATCAATCAGAATATGGAGTAATCTATAAAAATACTAATTAACTTTTTTCTGACACATCAAATCTCTGCTAACTTCTGTTATTTAATAAGATTGGCTTAGTCTGACATACAGCTAGATGTGAGGAAATAGCATAGGAAGCATGTGTTTCATCAATGAGGGAGAGCTTTTAGATGAAATTGAACACTAGTACTGGCTCTCTAGTATTAGTGGGAAATATGCAACTACCTCAGCCACAAATCAGACTGATAAATTACTTCTCTTATGTTTCATTAAAAAAAAGATGCAGAATTTTTTAATATCGTGACAACCATTTGATGACTTTAATATAACATGGCACCCAATTAGAGGGGATCTTACTGTGCATGCATGAAGAGACTCTCCTGTGGGGTTACTCAGTTGACAATGAGATGTCTTTGAAATGACTTGTGATCATCACATTCACAACTGAGCAAAGTCTCACTTAGGATTTATTTGACATAACATTGCACCACCCAAATCTGTCAATACAGGCTACATATTTTGACTATCACTATTAAAAGGTTTTTTTAACTAAAGTTTCCCCAATACAAGGCCTAAAAACCATTCAAGGTAGAGAGTTACTGAATGAGGTGTGTGATATGAACCTAAGAGGTAGAAGTAGGAATTGAAGATGAGGATATGGTAGATAGATAATGATTGACTAGAGACTTGAAGTGGTGAACGTTGTAGTGTTCGATTGAAGCATCTATATGGGAGTCTGTTCCATAAAGTAACGGTTCTTAGGAAGAAGCTATCAGAGTGGAATGCAAAAGAAAATGTAGGGAATGAGGGTGATTCGACCCTGAGGATGGAGTAAGATTGGTCCTAGATGTCTGAGATGGTGGTATAAAAGAATGGAGCACATCAGAACATTTGCCATGGAAGTATTGATAGGCATGTGATTTTGTGTCTGTAGGAAAGGAACTGTAGGGTTGAAAATAAGTCATCACCTACAAGGCCGCGTAAACAATTTTGAACTCTGTCAAGGCTGGAAAATGAGAATTGGGCAGCTCCAGTGGTAGGAATACTCCATTTTTGATCTGATCTTACACTTATAAAAATAATGGATGATGTTTTTCATGGTAGTCACTAAAGCATAGGGTGACTTTCCCACATCTGTGACATAGCTTCCCTGTTCCTTTTCTAAAAATATTTTCATGGTAATTGTTCTGATCAACTTTCCTATTTGGTACCTCAACATTACAAATTTAAGCGCAGAACTAGATTGGCAGCAAGGTTACTAATCATTTTATAGTTTAAATGGCTTGATGTAACCATAATTATATACTAACGGTCCCTTCTCTTGCATTTCTTGCTTGTAGAACTGTCTTCTGGCCTCTTGCTTTCCAGTTAACTTTGATCTTAAAAAATTTAAATGCAATATCAACCATTATCTTCAGTCTTAATTCCTGTTCTTTTATTGTTCTCTCTCCTTAATAATGTTTTTCTTTTTCTCATAATCTTTCATACTCAGTAACCATTTGCACCTTAGTGGCTTTATTGTCTTGCTTAGGATGAAATGGTTAAAACAAAATGTGACTAGACAGCTGATGGAAATATTGAAAGAGAACTGTTTTGAGAAGAGGAATGAATGATGGGATAAGTAGGTGATGTCCTAAGGCAAGTGCATTGAAAGTGATTAAAACATGATTGTCCTAGGTCAGCCATTTTTGCTAATTTTAAATGGCTGGATACTTTCCAGACTTCATATAACCTCAAGGGTCAACTTTAACAGAACCCATTTTATGTTTCCCTTTTATTTCCCTCCTGTTTTTTTCCAGTCACTGATTGTTGATGTATAGATAATCAGGAACAAACTAAAAGGCTGAATGTAGTTGACCAGAAAATAATTATTCTTCTTTCTGACTAGCATGCATTGTATGCGACAATAACTGCTGGACAGGAATCTGACCTATAAAAATTTTAACAATATAAACGATCCTTTAAATGCCAACCATGTGATGAATATTTTATTATCGGTCTGAATGGTGTTTTGCAATAAAACTGATTCACTTTAAAAACTGGATTCATATTTGCAATGGAGATTACTTGTTATTAATCATTAATATTTTTATTACTAATTATTAAGTTAATTTTGTTTTAGTTTTGATTATAACTTATTCAGAAGAGTTGTTGGTGCACTAAATTTAAAGGAAGAAGTGTGACTCTACTCTAACTTCAGAAAATATTTCTGCAGAAAGTTCAACTATTGTTTTATTTGCTACTAATGCTGTGTGAAGACAGATATATATAGTGACTTTTGTATTTATAGTCACAATTAATACAATAAATATTTTTTTAATAACTCTGGTAAAAATTAAGATTGCAATTTACTTACATTTTTTATAACAAATATTTTGTATGTGACAATAGATTTTCTGTTGATGTAAAATGTCTTATTTGAAATGTTCATAGAAATGAGTATGTATCTGATATACAAAAAACTTATACATTTTAATAAATGAGAAAAGGAAGTAAAAGCATAGCAGGTAGTTTCAGTTATGAGACTTCTGATCTCTAGCTGCTTCATTTATCACTTTGAAGAAAGGAAATTTTTTTTTTTTTCAGTTGACTGACTATGACCTGATGCAAAGTTTCATATTTATCTGTTTTCAGACAATACGAACATGAAGACTTGAATTTACTCAAACGAATAATGTCTGGTGGAATGTTCTCTTTTTATATTTCATGATCTCTCAGTGAATTATTTACCTTATTTAAAATTTTTTGGGTAATATTGTATTTATAAATGAGTGACTTTTGTCTCTTTTTTTCTTTTTTTTTTCTTTTTTTTTTTTTCCCAACAATAGTATTGTGTCTGGAGTTAGTATTTTGCAATTTACAGTTACCAAGATTGACTATGCAGTAGTAATGAGCTAGTCTGTTGGATTGTTAACCATTACCCTGTTGCAAAGTGTCTTAAATATATATTAGGCTTAGCTTTGTCTAGCACAAGGCTGGAGAAATGAGCATCAAGCTAGGATCAAGCTCACTAGATTAGTCTAAAAAGCAAAATTGTGCAAAAGTAGGTGCCTAATGTTTGGTAGCTTTTTTTATATTAAGATATAAAGGTTATTATTCTATTCAACATTCCAGATATCAGATACACAATTTCAGATATGACTTTAATTTGGTTATGACAATATTTAATCTTGTTCATAAGTAAAATTTAATTACATACTATTCCATTAGAGCAAATAAAATATACATCTTTCATTTAACTGTGGAAGGCAAAATTTCGCAAGAGGAAGAAGTTTGAAAAGAGAAATTTTTTTATGTACTAAGTATTGGTTCATAACTAACCAGCCATTACTAAGACGTAATTTTTTTAGAACAATTCTGAAGAGTCACTTGATTTCAAAATGACTCAAATGTCGTTTGCAGATAATCCAATTTTTCATGTTTTCTCTTAGATCTCTACTTGCTTTCAATTAGTATTTGCATCTACTTCATATATTGTTTTGAACTATCTGCGTGGCTCTCCAAAAATGACAAGATTTTTTTTTTATATATAGATTGGGAATTCTGTTAAAGATACTGTATTGGAGCACCTAGTCTTCTGCCTAAGATCAGAGGGTAGTATCTGCACTCTCTATGACATTACGCATGCACACATGCACTATATATATATATATATATATATATATATATATATATATACACACGGTGGAGTAATGGATAGCGGCTTGGATTGAGGAATCGCAGAGGCGAGGTTCAATTCAGTCGAATCCATTACATTCACTTACGATGCTAATACCCTTGGGAAAGGTATGAATCCTCTTCATCTCCCTCCAGCTATGGGTAAAATAGCAGGACAGACCGGGTTCTATAGCTTGGATGGCAACTGGTCTAGGAGAAGGACAACTCTGAATTCAAAACCTGCGGAGGGTCGTTTGGGAACCTTGGCATTTGGTGCACCAGGTTTCTGTATTCGTCCTTCAAAAAGTGCTGGTCCTGGTCACGAGGCCTTCACCACTATAGTCAAATCTCATGTGCCGGTAATGGGATGTGGGTTTTCCTGGAGACTTATCGGCCTGACCCCTCATACGCCGAACGCGACGGGAGAGTCGATTATATATACACACACTCAACTCTCCCATCAAATACAACGTATGAGGGTCAAGCAGATCAGTTCCCAGGAACCCAACAAAAGCACATGAGATTTGATTATAGTGGTGAAAGTTTTGTGCAGGATCATCCACACTTTTTGAAGGGCCAAATACAGAGACTTGGTGCACCAAGTGCCACAAGGTCCCCAAACAACCTTCCGCAGGTTTTGTCCTTCTCCCAGTTGCCATCCAAGGCTATAGAACCCAGTCTGTCTT